GGGGTCGTGCATGGTGAAAACACACCGTCACTTACATTTCTCGACTCCGCCTGTACTGACATGAGCGAGAGAACGTCCAGAGATAGAGCGCACAACACGCAACGCGAGCAAAACACACACGAACAAAAGGTTCAGACGCCACCCGAGAGCTACAAAACCCATACAGCCACAAAATTAGGTCCACATCCTCAAAGCATTCTCAACACCGTAAAAAAGGTTCCAAAATCTCCGCCCGCTACCTCCCAACAGTCGAACGGGGTCATCACTACTGGTGTGTGTTTTAAATCTTTTACCCGCAGTCACGCCGCGTATGCGTCACCTCCGAGCGCAGGCCTTCTCCATCCTGCGGCGCTCCGGCAGCTTGGGGGTGCAGCCCTGCACCCAGCGGAGCCCAGCCTTCTGGGCTAGTGCAGCAACGGGGCTGCCGCACAGAGAGTCCTCGGGTCTGCGGCAGACCGACCTGAGGGAGGGAATCAGCCTCTGCAGGATGTGGCAGTACTGTCGTTTTCGATTGACGATCGATCCACACGGTCGGGACACAAAACGACGGAAACAGCAGCAGCAGCAGCAGCAACAGCAGCAGCAGCAGAGCCAGCAGCAGCGTTGGCAAGCGGATGGGTGGGAAAGTTAGAGGCTGGCTTGAATTTGGTAAGGAAAGATAGACAACAGTACAGGGGGGCAGGGGGGGGTTGTACGAGCAAATTGTGTGGCGGGGAGGGGCGGGGCGGGGGGACACACGTTGCAAAGAGATAGCTGCGCACCCAACTTCGTTTCTTCTTGGACTTGTTTTTCTAGCGAGCTTGGGAAGGTAACTCCGGTTTGAGCTCGAAACGCGGACCAAAAAAAAAAAGCTAGACCCCCCGTCGTCCTCCTCCCTTGCCTGCTCCATTGTGAACCTCTGCAGGTACACCACCCGCGCGGCGGAGAATCTGGCCCTGAGGATCGGGGGGCGGGGCTCCCGTCCGGGTGTCCCTTCCCTTGGGGCGACGTCTTCCACACCGGGGCCGGCGGAAGAGAGCCCCCTCGCCTCGCGCTCTGCTCGCACCTCGGCTTCGCTAATCTGAGGGGCAAGGGCCCATGCACAAGGGATCATCGTTGGCACGACCGCAACGGCGGCTTATCTGACGGACAAGATAGTCATAATTCTTCAACAAAAGAGACAACAACGACTACGGTACGGCAGCAACAACCACCAACGGCCTACGGTACGGCAGGGTGAGGGTAAGATGGCGTGCGTACAGAGCACCGCGAGAGTTGCGTCCCCTAAGTTCGTTGCTGCCATGCACACGTCAATACAGCTGTGGGTCCTTGCAACCTTCTGCGTCTTTACCGTCCACCTTCCACTTCCAACCCCTCCCAAAGGCAGGGACCATGCTCACAAACCCTACATAGCAACAGCACCAAGCTCCAAGAGGCCATCTTACCCTTCCAGCGAACAGCCACTGCAGTTCCACCCCCCGGTTCCCCGCCTCCGCCGACTCCCTCGGCAGCAAAAACGCCGCCGTTTCGCCCCCCTCCAGAAACCCGGCATCAGCAGCAGAACTCTCCACCGGAGCAGAGGCCGGCGGCGGCGCGGTAGCGGCGGCGGCAGCAGCCGTAGCAGGCTTGAGGGCCGAGGGGTGTGGCCCATCGAGGCCGCTGATGATGCACGCGAGCTCTCCGGACGCCGAGCCGGTCCTGTCCCACAGGAGAAGCCCGCGAAGCAGGCCGCGGCACTCCATCGCGCGACGGCCCAGCCCCTGCCGGAACGTCTCGACCCCGATCGTGAGCCCCCTCCGGAGCTGGAGCTCGGAGAGCGGCCGGCCGTGGAACGAGAGCAGGCAGGCCGCCTTCAGTAGTTGCGGCGAGACAAGACCAAGGGGGAAAATGCATAAAGTACGGGTTTTCATCACCAGGCATGGCGTTGCGTAGGTTTGTGGGGATAAACTTCCAAGGAACGAGGACAGTAGCAGTGCCTGGCGGCGGCGGCGGCGGCGGCGGCGGTAGGACGCGAGAAAAGGGGGAAACGACGTTGAGCAGTGTTATCATGACACAAGAGGATATGGGATAAGTCACGAGAAACGATGACAGCAGCAGCAATATCCAACTCAAACAACACCCGCAGCCAAACCACGGCAACAGGCGCAAGCAACGCACATACAGACGGCAACGGCTGGTATTATATGCCCGCCCTCGCCGCCATTGGGCGAAAAAAAAACAACGTCCACCCGCCCCACCTCGTCCACCGACATGTTGACCTCCAGCGCCGGTAGCTCCGACGATGGCCACACCAGCTCGGTGAGCTCCTCCATGGGGTCGTCGACGGGCGGCCACACGGCACCCTCCCCGCCGGGGGGTCGCTCGTTCAGCCCCCGCTCCCGCCGAAACTGTCGCACACGCTCGCGCCGGGAGAGGCCTCGCGACAGATCCTTTGCACCGACGGTGGCCCTGCGGGGGCGGGGGGGGGGGGTACTCACGTAAGCGCATGCCGTAGTAGTTCGACCATTGGCCTCGCATCCCTACAACGTCGGGACTGAGCGATGTGGGGTAAGTTCAGTTGGGTATTACAAGTGCAGCTGGTGTAAACCCCTTGCATGCCGGTGGAGCGAGGAGGACGGCTTCAGCATGCGCAAAAAAAATGTGAACAAGGTCGTCTACACGCCGAGCACCTCCCTTTGTTCGAGAAGGATCATCACCTCGGGAAAGCATCGTTCGGACGCTCTCCAAGCGCTACTCTGCACCGTCCAGTAGACACCGGTGACATCGAACCGTACGCATTGGACGCGGTCGGCTCCGGCACAGACACATACCCACCGCCTCCTCCAAAAAAAAAAAAAAAAAACGCCGATCGCGTTAAGAAACGAAACCAAAACCCATTTGACCAGATGAGTCGCTGGGTGGTCTTGGACCTGTCTAACGGTTTGGATCTCGGCAACGAAAAAAAGCAAGACGTGGGTTGATTCTCTTCGTGTCGGAGCCTCAGCAACAACGCCAGTCATCCTTCCCTTCACAATAAACAGTTGTCCAATCTCCTTCGTAGAAGTTGTTTCGAGCTCTGGTCGTGCTTGACTCCGTGTACAAATGTCGCAGCAAGCTTGATGGTTTCGAGTCCCAGACTGCATACGTACTTACTCTGCGTGAGACCTTGGTAGCGAAATCGAGTCGCAGGCTGAACAGCTATTCTTACCGAGACTCGCGGGTTGCACAAGCGCGCATCACACCGGTCAGCCACACCTGATTAGATGGGAGATGCGGCCGAGAACAGGAGGGTCCGGCCAGATCTCCAGCCTACCCACATGGATATCCATCGATCGCTTCACCAGGCCCACGCCGACCTCTCCCCTCGCCTCCCGCACCCCAGTTCGTCCCCCCCCCCCNGGCGGCGGCCGCAGTACCCCCCCCCCGTCTCGTCCCGTCTGCCGCGCTGGTTGCGTGGATCCCTCCGACACCGCCGTCGGAATTGCGGGGGTCGCTGCACGAGTTGTCCGTGCCTGTTCGCGGCAGGGACAGGAACAGCAGCAGCAGCAGGAGCAGCAGCAGCAGCAGCAGCAGCAGCAGCAGCAGCGGTGATTCATGATTTCCCTCCGGTTGAACAAAACGGTTTCAGATTTCCGACAGCGACTGCACGAGTCGATCGGCGGGGGGGGGCAAGACTGCTAAGGGTGGTTGGCGCAGTAATCGTCGGCACCGTGACTGCTTGTACCTATTATGGCATCACGGGCGAGGTGTTTCGCTTGCGTGGACCCGAAAGACTCTTTGAAAGGACGCGTCTTGCAAAAAATCCAACCAAGCCCACCGCGCGAGCTCGTTGAACCGGGACACCCATCTGTACCCAACTCCCGCGACCAACTCCGCAGAGCCAAAACAACGTCAACTGCGAACGCCTTTGCATTTGGACACCAACGTCCCCTACGACCAACTTTACGTACCACTCCACATTAAACACTTTTCCGACGGGCGTGAAGCCGCCCGCTACGGGGGAAGCACGCAAAACACGATGCTGACCGCACATACCGCTGTTGCTGTTGCTGGTCGCACCGAAACTGCCGCGGCGGCTTCGCCGCCGGGCAGGGGCGTGGTTCCCGCCTCCTCTTCCTCCTCCTCCACCGTGCAGGGGCTCCAGGGTCCACTTGGCCGAGATCTCCAGCCCCCCGGCGGGTGACGCCGAACGCTGCTGCTGCTGCTGCTGCTGCTGCTGCGGGGGGGCCCGCGGAATCGGCTGTGGAGACGAGGGGCCTCCGCCTCCTCCGCCAGCAACCGAAGAAGACGCTTCTCCGATGTCGGCGGCGAAGCTGTCGTCCGCCGTGTTCGCGCGTGCCTCGCCTTCGCCACCTCCTCCGGCACAGCGGTGGCCGTCGTCGCTGCCCTTGCTGCCGCGTCGGGCGGGCGGCCTGCCGGGCGAGACGGCCAGGATCGGCAGCATGACGCCCCTGGCCTTGTCGACGCCCGCGTCCGAGCCCTCCGCCCGGATCGACGCCACCGTCAGCGTGATGGCCCCCTCGGTCATCCTCCCCTGGGCCCTTCCCCCTCCGCCGGCCCCCAAAAAAGCTGGGGAGGGGGCCGCTCTCGCATCCCCTCCTCTCTCGAAACGCCTCCCCGATGACGGCAGTCTCGGCAGCGAGGTCGTCGATGCCCCGCTCGCGGCACGCGCCCTTGCCCCGGCAGACCCGAGGCTGTTCTTCCTGCGATGCTGCTGCTGCTGCTGCTGCTGCTGCTGCTGCTGCTGCTGCCGTCCTCCAGTCCCCTTCCTGCCTACATCACCGCCGGCCCCCCTCCGGCCGCTCGCCTCTCGCACGACCATCGCGAGCACGGCACCGTCGAGGCGAAGCTCCAGGATGGGGTGGCCCCGCGGCGGGTCGAGTCCCCACGGCATCGTGCTGCCCAGAACCTCGGCACCCGTCCCGACCTTCTTGAGGCGGGCCGCGTCCGCGAGGCGGAGGGTCAGGGATGACACTCGGACGCGAAGAAGAAGTCGGCGCACCTTAAAACGCGCGCGCGAGGGGCGGGCGGGGGGGCACGTCTTCGTTGATAGGACCCTCTGGCTTTGGCCGCGTATTATCGTTGGGAGGGATGAAACGTTGTTATCATTGACAGGGACCTTACTTTTGCATTGCGGGGGGGGGGGGG